CTAGCTAAGAACCAGGGTTTTGTTAATTTGAGAAGGAAAGAATGGATATTGGATAGGCAGTGAGTAGTGTCGGCCACACCCCAATTTATAGCTGAGGAATGTGGGCTCGGAGAGAGAAGTAACTTGCCTGTGGTCACACAATCACCTGTCATAAGAGAGCTGGGATCTGAACCCTGGATGCTGCCTCTTCTCTCCTGCACCACCATTCAAGAGCCTTTGGTGAACATTCAGCTACTCACTCTGCTGTTTGAGAGCCTGGCTGGCCCGGACTACTACATTGGCTGACATCCCCTGACCCCTAACTCTGGGCCAGGTTCTTTATATTCAGGTCTTCATTTAACCTCCCAACATCCCTGCCATTGTCTCCATTCTACAGAGGAGAAACTGAGGCACGGAGGGGTGAGGTAGGTTGTTTGGGCTACCTGATCTGAGGCCCAGGCTCTTACCATTTTGCTAATCCAGGTGCTGGGTAGGACTGGGTTCCACCGGGCAGCAACAGGTGGGGTCGAGGCAGTTCAGCAGCCCACTGGAAGGTGGGGGATTAGATGTTCCCACAGCACCACGCCCAGGGCCTGGCCTCTGCCTGCTCATAGCCCACTTGTAGACAAGGCTGGGTAGTCAGGGGAAGAAAAAACCAACCTGGTCCCAACCTGGTCCGATCCCAGCCCTGAGCCAAGGCACTTGATCTGCCTCACTTTCCTCATCTGTAAAGTGAGGTGTTTAACTCCTACTCCATCTGCTTGTGTGGCAGCCGGTAGGTGCTGCTAAATCTATGCTGAGCCAAGAGAAGAATGAATGATCAGATGGACAGACAATCGCCACCCTTTTCTCAGGTTCAAGGAAAAATATATAGCATCTCCTGGGCCCACCTTTTGTTTTTTGGGGTTTTTTTGTCTAAAATATGTTCCACAGCCCAGCCAACATGGCTCAGTGGTTGAGTGTTGATCTACGGTTCAATTCCTGGTCAAGAGCACATGTGGGCTCGATCCCCGGTGTGGGATGTGCAGGATTCTCTCTCATCATTGATGTTTCTATCTTCTCTCCCTCTCCCTTCCTCTCTGAAATCAATAAAAACATATATATGTGTATACATATATATGTACATATATGTATATACTAGAGGCCTGGTGCACGAAATCCGTGCGCTCAACGGGGGGCGGGGGGACGGGCGTCCCTCAGCCCAACCTGTGCTCTCTCGCAGTCTGGGAGCCCTCGAGGGGATGTCCAAGTGACAGCCAGCAGTCGGACATTCTTAGCACTGCCACGGAGGCGGGAGAGGCTCCCACCACTGCCGCTGCACTTGCCAGCTGTGAGCCTGGCTTCTGGCTGAGTGGCGCTCCCCCTATGGGAGCGCACTGACCACCAGGGGGCAGCTCCTGCATTGAGTGTCTGCCCCCTGGTGGTCAGTTCCTGCATTGAGCATCTGCCCCCTGGTGGTCAGTGTGTGTCATAGCGACCGGTTGTTCCGCCATTCGGTCGATTTACATATTAGCCTTTTATTATATAGGATATGTATATGAAGACCTGAATATATATATATATTCCACAGATCACTGCTTCCAAAAGACATTAATAACTGTTATGTGAAAAAGCGGTTCTGAAGCCAAATGAGACTTAGACTGCCAGGCTAAACCAGGTTAACTAAGTTTCTCCCCAGCAGGACTTCTCAGAGCCTTGAATAAAGGAGTGTGCCGCGTGAGTCTCACAGGCCGGGGTCTAGAACTCTGTGTATCTCAAACCTTCTCGGCCCTGGAACACCTTTTCTTCATAGAAAAGCGCCACCCTGCACCAGTTGGCAGCTTTTCCTTTGTTCTGTCCCACACAACCTAAGCGCTCCGGTCCCGTCGGAAAGAAACACAGGCCCAATCTCCGGGAGAGTTTTGTTCTGTTGTGTGAATTATGACCAGGTCACCCAGAATTCGTTGGATCTTTGGGAGTTAACTGCATTGCTACAGGTTTAAGAGACAAACACTCAAAACAGCCATCCTATTATCGAGCAGAAATGCTAGGGGTCCTGTCTCGGGTAAGGTATTCCTGCTTCGGACCCTGGTGAACGCACACACAGCAATAAACAGTTGATGTGGTATCGCAGGCTGGCTGGTCGGCAAGAAGCCCCATGTCATGTCAGCAGGTCAAATCGCAGGGGGCACCGGGTCTGAGGGAGAGAGAATTGTTAGTGACTGTCAGACAGGCCACACTGTCTCCCCCCGGAGCCCTAGCTCCGGCCCCAGGGTCCGTGGACTCAGTCAGGTTCCTCAAGGGGCTAGAAAAGGCGAGAGCCGGCTTTTCCTTCCTTCCTTCCTCCAGTAAATATCAACCAAGCACCTACTCTGAGCCACACACTGTTCCAGGCACGAGGCATAAAGGATTGAATAAAAGAGACAAGGTCCCTGCCCTCAGATCACATTAGCTCTTTACAGGAAAGTGTGTGAGATGGTGAGTGACCGGGGCAGTCAGGTGGAGGGGAGGTCAGGGAGGGCCTCTCTGAGGAGGCAGCGGTTTAGCTGAGACCGGAATGAAGAGGAGGAACCGGCCATGGAAGATGTGGGGGAAGAGGCGACCAGGCAAGAACGTGAGGCCAAGACCCTGAGAAAGGAATGACCTTGGTCTGACTGGGAACAGAAAGGCAGCCGGTGTGGCTGGCACCTGGGAGCGAGGCGGTGAGTGGCAGGAGGTGGCAGGCGCCAGGCAGGTGGGCCTTGCAGGGCATGTGGCGCACCTGTGTTCCATCCAGGTGCAGTGGAAGCCACTGTCAACGGGAGTGGAGATGTCAGAGAGGCAGCGGGATCCAAGAGTCGGGCTGGCGTCTCGGGCTGCCCCATGCCCAGCGACTCCCCATGCCCTCTAAGCTCGCGGGGTCCTCTGACTGGTGAAGAGTAAAGGCCGAGTGTAGGGCTCTCCTTCATTCCTCAGAGCTCAGGGCTATGGAGGCAACGCTGAGCAGGCAGGTCATAGGCCCCCGGACTTCCTTCCTATCAAAGGGTCCTCGTCCCAGAACGCCCTCGGAGACCACCTCGGTCAACCCCTTCACGCCCTGCGGTCAACCCCTTCACGCCCTGCGGGGGGCACAGAGGCACACACAGAAGCCCTTCCTTCCTATCAAAGGGTCCTCGTCCCAGAACGCCCTTGGAGACCACCTCGGTCAACCCCTTCACGCCCTGCGGGGGGCACGGAGGCACACACAGAAGCCTGCTCCCCCAGGTCTCAGCTAATGAAGGGACGGATCCTCCCCCAGGGCTCGCCGGAGGCAGCAGGGCCCCTGACCACCTGCTCCAGCCACGCAGGCCCCGCCTGGCTGGCCTCCCCGCTTCCCCTCTCGGTCACAAGCCTCTTTTGTGCTTGCTCCCTGGGGCTCCATCTCCTTGCAGGGGTCACAGGACATCGCTGACCCCATCGCCCTGCCAGCGTGCCCGGCTGGTAATTGAAAATACCAGAATTCCCTGAAGACCAGCTTACAGGGAAACCTGACACCCCAGGGTGGGCAGCGGGCGGCAGGGGGGATGAGAGCACATCCAGCTGTCCCTGTTCTCCGCTGTTAATCCCCCCGGATTCCGGCAGAAAGGCCAGCCCTGCTTGGCCCCCCTTGGCCTGCCTTGATCATCTTCCCAGCAATGCCGCCTCCTTGCCACACCCAGGGATACGGGGCTTACAGGATCAGAGCCGGGTTAGCTGCCTGTAACCCAAATCTGCCAGCTAAACCTGCCAGGTCCAGACCCCCACGGCCGTGTGGGACCTGCCTCCACCAACAGCTGAGCTCCCGGAGCCGGGGCGGGCCGGGTGGGTGGTAGTGAGGTGAGTCAACAGAAGCCGAGTAAAGTTCCCTTCGCAGCAACAGCGTGGGATCTGGACCAGGGTGTTGTGAGGGTCACTGCTTTCCAGACCTCCCTGGTCAGCCTGCATCAGCCATGGCCACTGGAGGGGAAAGGCTATGTGGGGCCCAGGTGGGCCTGGATTCAAAGATCAGCTCTACTACCTGCTAACCGGGTGATTTGGGACAAGTTACTTCAAACCTCAGTGCCTCCGTTTTCTCATCCATAAAATGGGTATACTCATTAATAATAACAGCCTCATGGGGTTGATATAGCTGTTAAATGAGTTAACTGACATAAAGCATTTGGAAAAGTGCCAGGAGTAGCGTGAACAAGGAAGTGTTAGGTGTTAGCTGTGGGGGCCTTTTTTCTTTTCTGGTCATCATTGGACATACAGGGGCTGTCAAGATGCCAAGCGTGATGGCAGCTTGTGTTTTAGTGGAGGAGCGGGTTCCCGTCCCCACTGCAGTCCTCCGTGGCTCCCCAGTGCCTCAGGGTAGGACAAGCCCCCAGGCCTGGAGGTCTGGCCCCCAGCTGCTCGGCAGCCTCGGCCTGCGCCTCTTGGAACTACTTGTACCTCTGCTTCGAGACTACCTGGGCCCAAAGGCCCCAGGAACAGGTTAGGCTGGGCAGTGAGAGGGGCAGTCGTGGGCAGAAGCCAGGCTGTGAGAAGCAGCGTGGTGGGTAGAAAAGATACTAGACCAGCTGGTCCGGGCTCTGGCCCTGGCCCCACCTCTGCCTGCTAGGTGACCTGGGACAGGTTACCTCCCTTCCCAGTGGACAGCAGCACCTGCGCTGCTTAGAACTGCGGGTTCTCAGGCCCCGCCCAGACCTGTGGCATCAGAATCTGGGCGGTGGTGCCCAGCAATGTGAGTTTTCACAAATCTGATGCCCCTCAAGTTTGAAAAGTGCTGTCATTTTATAGGGACACATTCTGCCACTTTTCCTCATTGCGAGAAGGTGAGTCACAGGGAAGGAGGTGAAGGGAGGCGCAGTGTCCCTCCTCGGGGCTGGATCACCTTGGCCGAGTGGGGGCACCTGTGACCCTGCATGAGTCCCTCTGCTCCTGCCGGCTCCCCAGGGTGTGGCCTCGGCAAGACGCTTCCCCTCTTCTGGGCGCCTCTGAGGTTGGGCCAGGCGCTGCACCCTCTCATGCCCACCCCAACCCCTGACCTCTGACCTCTCTTCCAGCTCCGTCGGCTGTGTCCATCATGCACCAGGTGAGCCGCACCGTGGACAGCATCACCCTGTCGTGGTCCCAGCCTGACCAGCCCAACGGCGTCATCCTGGACTATGAGCTGCAGTACTACGAGAAGGTACCTAGGCTCCTGGCGCGCTCCCCACCCCCACCTCCCTGATGGTCCCCCGACTCAGGCTGGGCCTGGGGTCCCACTGTCCTGCAAGACGAGACACCACCTTGAAGCAGAAAGAGCACTGGCCTCAGGCTCGAATGGTGGATTCACTCCTGCCTGGCTGTGAGACCTCAGGGGGGCGCCTTGACCTCTCTGAGTCTTACTTTTCTGGTCTGGGGACCTGGCCGGCAGCCTCAGTAACATGCGGTGGTCACAGGCCTTCCCCCACCAAGATCCCTTCTTCGTGACTTCAGCTGTCCTGAAGCTCTGAAGAGCTGGGTTTCCCAAAAGCTGCGTTTATTAAGCAAGGATTGGTCATTCATCTGCTCCGAAGCTGAGACACTGCTCGAGAGCTTCCACCCAGAGTGGAGCTTTCTCCTGTGCTGCTCGGCTTCCAGCTAAAACATTGCTTTTCATTTGCCTGCGTGCCCTTCGTCTGGGGGGAGCGTGCTTTCTCTTTGAGCTTTTAACTCAGACCCTTGTCACTCCCTTCGGGGACCTCTAGGAGCCAGGGACCCGGGGTTCGAAGCCACTGTGTAGTAGAAGGAGCACTGGACTAGGAGTGAGAAGCCATGGGTTCAAATCCCAGCTCCACCAGCAGCCAGTGTGTGAACGTGGGCAGCCACCGTTCTCTCTCTGAGCCTCGGTTTCCTCCTGGGTCAAGGGCGAATGAGACCACCTCCCTCACCTGGGGGCTGTGCGGGTATAGTGCCCAGCAGGTGCCTGGCTCTCAGCAAAGTGGAGTGTGCTTTCCCTGCCTCCCTCCCCTGCCCTGCCTGCCGCACGGTGGGCCAGGGCCGCGCGGTGTAAGGCCGGTGAGCTGAGCACGTGTGCGTGTGAGGCCTGCCCAGGCGGCTGAGCATCAGAGCCCTAGGGAACGCCGTGTGACTGGTGACTTTTCTTACCTGCTCCCGGAGGCACAGACAGCCTCAGAGGTTGCAGGGGCCCCTGGAAAATGTTCCACCGGACTCCCTTTTGGACTAAGGCGTGAATGACTATGGGACATGCTTTAGTTGAGGCTGAGCCCATTGGAAACGGAAATGATGGAAAGGCTTTCCCTAAGGGCTGAGAGGAAATGAGGTGGAGACAGTTCCAGCCAGCCCTGCAGAGCCCAACCTCCTCACTCTGTCAGCTGCTGGGTCCCCCAAACCCTGGTGGGTTCCAGGGGTTCATCAAACACCTCTCCAGCCTCACCCGGCTGGTTTCTGATTGTTTCCTTGCCCATCCCTCCCCTTGGCAATGCGTTCCTAGAGGCCAGGGACCACATCTGTCCCCTTCACCGCATGCTCCCCAGCAGCCTGGGCCTAGCTGGCACCAAGGACACTTGATAAATGGCGGCTGGATGAAGAAGTGATGAATCCCTTCCCGTGGCCTGTCCTTCAAGGGTGGAGGCCTGGCCTCTCCTCTGCTGTGTCCCCAGGGGATGATGGGAGGGACGCAGCTCCACCCCTCGCTGGCCCAGGAGGCCTGCTGGAGCCGGGCCTCCCAGGTAGTGGGACCAGCTGCTGCCAGGCTCAGGAAGCCTGGGCCCTGCAGGAGCAATCATGTCCACTTCCTCTGGTGGGGACAGCTTAGCAACTCGGAATTCAAAAAGGAAAAAAACTAATTAAGAAGCTTGATGATTAAATGAAACGGAAAGTGTTTGTCCCCAAAGACTGGATCGGAAATGAGGAATCCCGGCACAGGTCCTGCCCACGACCCATTTCCTACCCACGTAGGAGGGGCTGGGGAGGCAGCGGAGGTGTGAACCAGGAGGCAGCTCTGCCCTACTTTCTGCTGCTGCCTGGGCATCCCCAGGCCCATGCCAGAGGTGGCCGGGCCAGCAGGCCTTGCAGCAGCCACCGCTATCGCCTGCTCACGTTTCATGAGAGCTCACTGTGTGCTAAGCACAGCATATCCGTTGTCTCATTCCTTCTCGCAGTGTTGCTATCCGCCCTGTTGGGCAGGAGGGGAAACTGAGGCACGGAGAAATTGTGTAACGTGTCCAAGAGCACCCGGCTGCTAAGTGGCAGGGCAGGGGTGTGGACCTGTGCTCTCACTCTTCACCTGGCTCTGCTGTCTCCCAGTTTCTCCCAGGGATGCTTCTGGGATAACCTTTAAGAGGTGGACAGAACCAGGCTCTGATGAAGGATTTTCAGCATAAATGGCGGGAGATGAACAGCCTGAGGTGTGGCCGTGATAAGACGTGTCCATGCTTCCATCAGCCCCTCTTCCCAGGGCCTGGGGTACAGAGGGAGGCAGCTTGGCCTCTGCCAGTGGGGAGATGGGATGCTGGTTCATTCAACACTCACTGTCACCAACTTCGGACTGGGTGCTGGGAACATCAAGAGTAACTAGACATGCCTGGAGGCCTTCCCTTTATAGTCCAGAGAAAAAGACGGGTTCGGGTACAAATAGCCATTAGACAAGATGAGATACAAACCACAGAAGGGCCAGCAAAGGTCCCCGCGGGTCACTAAGGAGGACCCCATAATCCTGGTATATGTGAGAGGAAGTCTTCATTCAGATGACATTTGAGCTGAACCTTGAAAGATGCTAGGACGAGTGATGAGAGCAGGATCATTCCAGGAGGCAAGAACGGTATGTGCAAAGGCCCTGGGGCAGGAATGTGCTGGCTGCACTCAGAGAATAGAGCAGGTGAGTGTGGCAGGAGTAACATGAACAAAGGAGAGGTGTGTAGGGGTGGTGTTTGGAGAGGGAGGCAGGGCAGACTGTGGTGGGCCTTCCAGGTTTTTGGAGTCTGGATTCAATTTAAAGTACAATGGAAGCCATCAGGAGGTTTTGGAGTGATGTGATCTGGCTCATTACTTTAAAAGGTTCCTGTAGCTTGCTATGTGGAGAATACAGGTAGACTCTGTACAGGGATCTCATGGGACAGCAAGTGAGAAATGACGGTGGCATGGAGTTGGCGGGTTGGCAGCAGAGATGGTGAGAAACTGCCAGATTCAGACAATATTTTGAAACTCAGGGGACTAGGGAAGGGTGACAGTCAACTCCCAGTAGATGGTGGTGCCTTTTCCTGGGGCAGATGTGGGTTTGGGATTTGCAGATGTAGGTGTGGAGTTTGCCGGGAGTAGGGAGGTGTAGCCCAGAACAGACAGGCGTGTGCAGAGGAAGAACAGAGTGGAAGGACAGATTGAGGAAAATGGCAAGATTTAAGGACGGAAAGAAAATGCAGTTGGTGAAAGTGTCGGAGACACTTTCTTCCTCTCCACGGGGAGGGACAGCCAGGCTGCAAGTAGTGAGATTTATTTCTAACAGGTCCACAGCCCGCTCTTACCTGATACGTCAGACTCCTCCTGGTGCCTGCAATTGATTTCTTTAATGAATGCTAGATCTTCCCAGGTAGGGAAGTTAGATACCGAGCCCTGCGGCCCCCTGTGGGCCCCACCCCTATCTCCTTTCCTACTTTTCCTTTCCTTCTTTAGAAAGGGCTCCGTTGGAGCAGGCTCTTCATTTGGCCTCTCCCCAACTTCACTGGGATTTCCCATTCTGCCCGGAGCCCTGAGCCCAGAGCTGACAACCACTTTGCTGGAAGTCTTCTAGAGGCCGCTGACGAATAGTGTCAGTCAGACGAGGGCTGGCCTTGTCCATCGGTTCCAGCATCCCAGGGGAGGTGGCCTCCATTGGCAGCTGCCCCAAAGCACATGGGTTCATGCTCCCTTTGGCTCCTCAAGAGCTCAAGGAGAAGAGTCATTTGCGAGGCCGGCTATGGCGGATGGGCCTTTGTAGGCCACATCGATTTCTGTATCTATTCAACAGAAATTTCTACTTGGCAGAAGTGAAGGGAAAGGAAATGCCAGGCAGAGGGAGCAAAGGTTGAGGGAGGACGGGGGTGAATGAAAGTCCAGATTGTGTTCCAGGTGTTGCCTAGTGTATGTGGAGCAGTATCTACAGGGGGAGGTTTGCTCATTCATTCACTTGCGCATTCATTCATCCACCTAATGAACGTTGGTGATGATAACAACAATGGTGATAGATGACACTTAAGTCCTTATGTGTGTTAGAGACTCTCCGAAAATCTGTAACCATTATTTCCTATTGAATCTCAACAACCACTGTGTGTGGCATATAGTTGTATTATCCCATTTTAAAGATGAGAAAACTGAGGTTCATAGGACTTAAGCAATGCACCCTCTGCCTCATTGGCCCTTAGTCTCTGGATAAGGACTCAAACAAAGGACTAGTGGATTTCATACTAAATTTATTCCCCGAACCCACATAATCCTTATTTAGATAAGGGTACTCTTGGGGTTGGGGTGGGGGGGACTAACTGATCAGATCTTATCTTCACAACAACCCTGAGCGGTTGGAATTTATTGTTCCATTTTCTGGAATGGAAAACAGGGCTCGGGGAAATGGTCTTTCCCAAGGTCACAATGCAAGCAAGTGGAAGAACTCGCATTGGAAAGGACTTCCAATCCCCTGCGGGGTCCTGTGCCCCACGTTAGAGAAGGGATCCACTCAGGTTGTTCTCCATTCTCCCAAGGCACCGAGACCACTGTTACCTCCCATCTCCCTCATATGACCAGGAACATAAAACTTCCAGCCTACGTGGGCACCCACCCAACGTGGGCACCCACCCAGGCTGCACAACCGATCCCGTGGCTTGGGCTAGCCCCAGCAGATCCCATGTTAGACGGCGGCACCTAGTGGCCAGGCCTGGTAGTGCATCCTGGGTTCATAGATTGTGAATAGTCTATTCATTCCAGTGGGTGGTTAGTGAGCACCTACCATGTGTGGAGCCTGGGCGTTCCCAGAGATGAATGAGATAAGATCCCTGCCCTCAGAGCACCACACTCTCCTTAGAGAAGACACGTGTATCAATAAAAATATATTTTTTAAATATTTTAAAAAGAAAGACATGTATATCAGAACAATAGATGGGAGACAATGGACCTGCGCCATCTGTCTGGGGTATCTGGGAAGTCTCCCCAGCAGAGGCAGTCCTGGTGCTGGGTCTTGAATAAGGAGAAGGGAACTGCAGGCAGATGAGGAAAGGGTATTTCAGATGGGGCAGCAGGACTTGCAAAGGCTCAGGGAGAGAGGGCTGCCAAATAAAATATCGGACATCAGAGTTACATTTGAATTTTTTAAAATAGTAACATTGTAGTTACAGTTATTATCTGTAATAACATTGCTCGCACTCATTTAATTGTTTCAGGAGAGTGTTCAGGGGCTCTGTGCCTCCCTGACATGTGCATGATTGGCATGCGTGTTTTTCTGCGTAAGGGGTCATAGCTTTTCATCAGCTTCTCAAACGGGTTCCAGATCCTCAAGGGGTTAAGTTCTCCACCCTGTTTGCTTTTCTGAACTGGGCTTTCCAAGACCAGGACCTGTGCTTTCACTGGTGCCCAGTGCCCAGCCCAGGGCCTAATGCAAAGAGGGTATTTGGAGAAGGTTATCTGGGCAGCTGACAGGTGCCTGAGTGAGCATCAACTAGGCAGGTAAACATTTGCATCCAATTCAAACACATCTCCACCCCTATTGCAGCAGCTGGCTCTTTGTCCTGTCCAGGCTCCTCGGGTCACCCTGGGCAGTACTTAGGAGGTGAGAATTGGCGTTCTGCATCTCTCAAAGGTACCCAAAGACAAGAACATTAGAGGTGGCTCCAGCATGGTTTTGAGTCCCAAAGCAGCCATCAACTGATGCATGTGACCTTGAGCATAATTTT